AAAATACAGAGATAGGCACACTCACATGCATCAAAGTTGACATATGACCTTAACTAACCAAATCCCTTCATATTTGATCAAAGAGGCCAGATGTAGAGCATATATACCACTTTTTAGAGATTTTTCGGTGAGTTTTCTTGACTCGTTAGCTTGAATTTTGTTGTGACGATGATAACTTGCTCTTATGATGCTTGCCATATGACGGACGAAAGCTTAGCATCTTTTCACCGGAATCGAAGAAGATTACCTCGGAAACAACGTCAGCATGAATCTTGCAGTAAAGCCAATAGAAAGCAGATCAAGAGGAATCCGCCGTCGTCTTCTGGTGGAAGCGAGCTTCGAATCTCTCCACCCAGCACTTTCACACGAAATGGAAGTAAGCTCAACAATGTCAAATTAATTTTCAGGAAATACTTATAATCTCACAAACTACTTATATAGAAAATAAGTAACAGCTCCAATTTAGGGGTTAAGAAGTGTTTGATTAACCCATAATGATATTCTTTGAATTTAAACTGCGAGACCTAATCATCTCATTATGGGAAACTTCAAGTATCAGCTTCTAAGTCACTTTAAGCGATTTAGGCCGATTAAATGCATATTCATATACCAACTGTACCATAAATTTTTTCCCTCCTGACCTATATTATGAACTGATATCCTGAACCATCAGGGCCAAAGTCCCTACTGAGTAAGACTTGCCGGATAGGATAACATTCGAGGATAGTTGTATAAGTTGCATAAGCCTTTTTTGGTCGTTGAAGTGCATCCAACTGTTTGTCGGGGTTGTTAAGCCACACTTCTCCCATGCTATCTGGCAAATCGAAAACTTTGGATTCTCTTTGTGTTGCATTCAGACTTCTCGACGGTCAGTGCTTAAGCCGGTCAGTGCGAGCGGTTCATACTGTACGTTGTGACTCCGGCCAGCCGAAAAGGTTGCTCGGGGCCTGCCAGCCAGCCAGTTGCCAGCGATCCATCACAACCGTTCGTCTCGAGCGTGAGGGCTGCCGATGCATAAAGCGACAAACGGTCAAGCAGATGCGCTGCTGCTGCTCCGATCTGGTATCTAGGACAAGACGCATTTGCCATAAAGACGGCCGTGTTATTTTGGTACATTTTTAAGACAATGCTTTTGAATACAGTTGGTTTATCCCTCATTTATCAATGTTGAATTGGATTTATTTGTCCTGAATAATGATGCGTAGTCAGTTGAAAAATAGTTTGCTTAAAATCTACTAATTTCCAGCATCGACCTATAAGACCATTTTCGGCAAGCGATTATTCATGTGGTGAAACTTGATGAGCCGATTTCCCTACTGTTCACTCTTTGAAGTGTCCCAGGGATGAGAAAGAACGCTTTTTACTAATTAATTTTACTTTAATTTTTCACTTTAAAAGAACCTCCATCTAAACAGTGAATAGAGAAAACCGACCGGTTCATACAGTTATATATGCTGAAAGAATAACGAATTTCTAGAGGTATAAACAGTTTTGGTTGGCTTGTGTATCGGATGAAAGGCTAGGCTTTAGAAAATCCATCAGTCGTAGAGTAGTTTTTAACTTTGCATTTTTTTCCCTGTTTTCATTTCTCATTAAAATTCAGTACGGATGTATCAGGGTGGTAGGACCGTGCAATGAAGACTACTACACTAAGGATACCATCCACAAGTGGGGGGGGGGCAATCTTCATTCTCCATCTGATGAGGCCACTTAACAAATCACTTACACCAAATTTCCATACCCGAACTATGTTTAGTTTACTTTGCCACCCTTAACGTATTGCAGTGTGTGTGTGTGTGTGTGTGTGTGTGCTCGTTTGTACGAATAGAAAACCAGTGGTTATTGTGGCGAGACAAAACTTA